ATTGGATTGATCAAAAGTAACGTCATTTTTTAAGCTCAAAATTGTATGTACAATAACTTCATTAAAACTGAACGAAATTTAAATTAAAAAAAAAAAAAAAGGTTTTTAAGGTTTTTGAAATCTCTACTTTCAAAATTACTGTATGTTTTTAGTTTCTGTAAGTTCGATTTTTACTTATAGAAAACAACAAGCTGAAAAAAATAGGAAAGTTTCTTCTTACTTAGTAAACCAGTTACATGTTAAACAAAATTTGCGAAAATTTTCGATTGTTTATCGTAAAAACTTGAAATTTTTCCTACAAAATCGTTTTTTAAAAACATCCCTACGATTTTTTGTTACTCGGTTTAAGAAAAAGAGTATTTACTGATTTTGATTGCCCATAACTCCGTCAAAAATCAATTAAAAGATTCTTAATAGATTCTTATATATAACCAGTAAGATAGATATACCGATTCTAAATCCCTACGTATTAGTGCGTATATATATATATATATATATGTATGTGTGGTGTGAGGATGTCAGGGAGAGGGAAATGCACACAGACGCTCCGAGGGAGGGGGAAGCGCGTCATCAGGGTTTCTGTTATGCCTAATTCACACTGGACGCAGCAAGCATCAAGCAACAGAGCAGCAACCAATCAGTGCGATATTTACAGTGACACTCTCACACACATACATACCGCATATATGTATGCGCACTAATACGTAAGGGTTTAGAATATCTATCGATATATCTATCCTACTTTAACCCTTAATAAAAACATTTTGATCCATTTTGTAAAATAAACACTACATCTGAATAGCATACCTAGGCTAACTTTGATTGCTCAGAACATTCATAAAAACAAACATATTTTAACAAATTCTTTTCAATCAAAACGTCAGATAGTACGAAATATAATAGTACCAAGCAAATGTACGTATCTTTACTGATAAAAAAGTTATAAGCTATAAAGTAAGTAAACAATAGTTTCGAAAAAAATTCTATTTTTAGTATATATGTTACAAAATATTTTAAATATCCATGGAAAGTAGAAACTTCGAACTTTCAGAAAAAAATACTGCATTATTGTATCTTTTAAAAAAACATATTATTTAATTATTTAAAAGGACGAAAATGAAGAAAATTTGAAATTCATTTTGGAAGGAAAACATACGAGGTCTGATAAAAAAATAAGTGAACTTTTTGAATTACTCGGCAACGGAGCGTTCTAGCGACGCGAGAATGAGATATTTTTAAAATATTTGCAAGAGTAACGATAAAATTAATTACTCGAGTTTATACTTATTTTTTAAATAATAGGTTATTCTTTCAGAATAGTGTTATGTTAATAATGTGTGTTACTGAAGGTCCATCAAGCTTAGATATTTCATCTTAATTGTAATATAACCACTCACTTCATTCATATAATATATTTATTTTCTCTTTATAGTGTGTTGTCCTTTTTTATTTACTCGTTTCCACAATTAATTTCTCTCTCGGTGGAAACCACTGAAATTTAATTAATTTTTTTCAGAGACACAATAGAAATTCGTCACAATTTAAAACATCTGTAGCGGATTTTATCGGCTGGAATAGTTGGAGGCAATATTATTGTTATTTTTAATGATAAAAATCGATGTCTCTTTAACTTATATTTAAAGTCATTCATATACAAACAGCAAATCTTATAAACAATTTATATAAATTGCTAACATAGTGCATGACGGCATGAATCGATGGTTGACAATGTTATTATTATAGTATATA